AACCCTAAACCCTAAACACTAACCGTGGGCAAAGTTACGTTTAGGTAGGATTGGACCCCTCAGCCCTGGCCAAAAACGAGGCACAGCACGAAGCACAGCCTTGGCAAGGGCTGTGGGAGGCCACGGAAACCCCCAAACTCTGAGTCGGCTTAGGGTTCAGGGTCTTCAGAGCTCAGGGTTTAGGGGGTCTAGGGTTTAGGGTTCAGGGTTTAGGGTTTAGAGTTTAGGGTTCAGGGTCTAGGCTTCAGAGCTCAGGGTTTAGAGGGTCTAGGCTTTAGGGTTAGGGTTCAACCTCTGAGCGCGGACCTGATCCAAAAAGTCCAGGCCTTAGTGTTTAGGGTTTACGGTTTAGGGTTGTCGATCTGTACTATAAAGTTTGAGAGGAATTAGCGCTATTCCTGTGGTCCCTTTGACAACTACTATGGGAACCGGTTTCTACTCATTCAGGCCCCCTATGCCAAACCCTGACAGATACCCAGAACCCTTAAAGGAACCCCACTGACTTGCGACTCAGGTAGGATTTGCCTCCTTTGGGAGCAAGTCGGCCGCAGAGCTTTTGAGTCAGGGCTAAAGACCTGGCTTGGCCAGGACATGTGGGGGTTTCCGAAAATTAGGGTACCTTACTTTGGAGTCCTTTTCTAGGATCCCACTATTCAGGGTACTCTATTAGGACCCCCTATTTCCGGAAACCCCCATGTCTCTTCAGCGTCTGGGTAGGGTTTAGGGTTCCGGGTTTAGGGGTTTCTGGGGCGGCTTCGCTGGGAGGAATGTTGCTCCAGAGAGGATCTGGCGCTCGTCTAAGCCGCGTTTGGTTTCAGCAGTTGCATGACACATTAAAATCTAGCCAACTGGTGTTGAAAAGGTTTAGGAGCTTAACAGATGCATGACCAGTTAAAAATCCAGCCGACTGGTGTTGAAGAGATATAAGAACTTAAAGTTGTCTATTGTCTTGCACCGAAGCCCAGGTACTGGAAGCTTTGCATACTTCAAGTTCCAGGGATTGGACGCCGCACCTTCGCCACCCTAATTCTGGATGAGTTCCGGAGCCTTGGTGCGAACATTAAAGACAGTGGGTTCGGGGCTCGGGGACTCTCGACATCCGTCAGTTCACTCCTCTGGGCCGTAAGTTTAAACCCGCCCTTGTGGCTGTGCAGTTAAGCCTGAAGAGAGCCCCTTCAGGAATGCCAAGCGCCTGACGGTTCTGCTCCTTCAGGCACCCTTGGCTCGTCGCAGCAGCGAAAGGGATCTCTTTTGTCCCGGTTTTTGGAGGGATTTTGGGGTTTAGGGTTTAGGTATCCCCTGGGAGGGTTTAGGTTATGGGGTGTATGACCGAAGGATACTTTGGGAGGTGTTTTGGGTCCCTTGATGGGCTTTCCTTCTTGTGTTTGAAGCCGCGGGCTATAAGATGTGAAAGGCAAGGCCTAAGAACCCTAAACAGCCTAAACTACTACACTTACCTACTTACTTACTTACTTACTTACTTACTTACTTACTTACTTACTTACTTACTACCTTACTTACTTACTACCTTACTTACTTACTTACTTACTTCCTTGCTTACTTACTTACTTACCTACCTACCTACCTACCTACCTACCTACCTACCTACCTACCGACTTTCTGGCTTGCTTACTTACTTACTTACATATTTACTTACTTCCTTACGTACTTACCTACCTAGTTGCTTACTT